GCGATGTATGCTCCCCCCTTCCACCTGCACGTTCCATCGGGGTATCAAAGCTGGCAGGATTTTTTGATCTGCAGGCTCCCAATAAAACCACAGGCAAGGAGGCTTTGCAGCAGCTCTGCAACGCAGCCCTACTCATGCAGTGACCAGAAATTTAGTTTCGAGTTCTATTTTGGGGTAGTATTTCAACTCTGGGACTAGTTTGCATCCTCACTGCCACCTCCAAACTGGCCGAGAACTTCCATGCTCAAGGTCACAGCTCGGACATGGACATGGTGACAGGACAGCGGAGGAAGATGCACTTCCACGTGAAAACAGCTTTTAACAGCAGTCCACAAGCAACTTGCAGAGCAGCCACCCCTTTTAGCATCTTCATCCACTTCTGACAAAGGTAAACAGCGGTCCACTGTTGAAAGGAACTGCTGCATGAGAAAGCACGTAAACAGCAACGGCCACCTTGTCCCGACACTTCCCTCCTGCTCCGCACTGCTGCCCTGCTAGTCCCACGCAATCTCCCTGAGCCAGACCACTGCTCCGCACTGCTGCCCTGCTAGTCCCATGCAATGTCCCTGAGCCAGACCGACCTTCAGGCCCTTTCTTAGGAGAAAGGACAGAAGCGCATCTTTTCCTTGTCCTCCACACAAGGCAATGGAAATCCTGCAGTTTGTCAAGCACAAATCCCCAGAACAACTGGCCCTTGCTGGGCACGTGCTAATTCACATTGCTGAACTGAAAGACTGCAGTAAACCCAAGCCTGTATCTGATTTACCTTCACTCCGCCCAGTAAAGAATGTGCGAGTAAAATAAAGCTCCCTCACCCCTTGGCGTTATGACAACCTTTGTAGTAACGTCTCACGGGTGAGGATCAAACAGCTCAAGCACACTTATGGGTAGCCACGGGCAAGCTCACACCCTAGGGCAGGGAACCAACACAAACCGAAGCAACCTCGGCTCACACAAGCGAGCATCAGCGCCGGCCCAGCTCATCTCCTCTCCTGCAGTGCACCCCAGCAAGCCGAGGGGTTCACTGCTCCCTGCCAACACGAAGACACATCGACAGCTGTACGGCGACTCAGAGCTGAGACACTGCACACAGGTGACAGCCACGCAGCACACCGCAAGTCCTTACGTGCATTTTCATGTTTTGAAGTTGTAATCGTTGCTGAAACATGGACAACAAAACCCTGTAAGCTCCTACTCGATTTCTCTCTTCCAGGGAATGGAAGTGAGAGCATGCTCCCACCCATCTGTCAGAAACGCCTGACCTCGGGCAGTTCCACACACCCTCCACCTTCAGCCAGAGCACACTGACCCCTGCACGCTTCACTGCCGGAGAAGGGACAGCCGGCGGGCTCCAGCCCAGCAAAGCAGGGGCAGCCACCACTGCACTTCACTGCTAGGAACAAACCCAAGGCCAGTTGCTCAGCTAGAGCTTAGAAAGGGAGAATAGCTTTCTCAGCCTACGTCCTCCCCTTGCACTGCCTTTTTTCACCATCAGGTATTTCACCTGTGAAAATAACATACAGACCAGTCTCTGGCAGGGCAGCGAAGCACCATGCTCCGTGTCTGCACAGGGCCGCTCACACCGTCAGCTACACAAAGCAGGAAAGGTTTTTTGGCAAAGTACCAGCTCTGCCATTTCGCTTTTTGAGTCTAGCAGCTGGTTCCAAGGTTTGGTCTCCAGCCTGGTACGCAGACATCTCCCACCTGGGAAGACTGGCCTGGTGTTACTGAAAGGCAAACATTTCACTCAGACTTGGGTCAGGCATCCAAGATAACAGAACTCTATTTTTGTGCTCTCCATACCCAATCTGGCAACCACTGGCAAGAAGATTCTGGCTGGGCATCACAGACACATCAGTACCTCAAGTCAGCTGCGTACAACCAAATTAAATACCTATTAACAAAGAAAGGTATTAAAAAAAAAAGGCAAAAAAGAAAAGCACTATTTTGTCATTCATCTATTTCTGCATATTGATCTTCAATATACGGGACAACAGAATGCTAGAGCGCATTTTCTCCTTGCTCTTCAAGTCTCCAGATAAACTGCCATGGCAGGCTTCACATAAAGTCTTATTCCAACTTCAAGAGACAAAGAGCATCATTAGTAGGACAACCACCAAACTTCTGTAACTTCTACCTGAAAGTCTCCCAGTAAGGGCAAACGAACCGTTTTCCCCACAGTCAGGTTACACCCCCCCGCCCCAGCACGAATATTTCGCTTGGCTTTTCTAGAGCAGCTTGCTCAAACATGCCCTGAGCCCGGCCAGGAGGCTGTGACCTGGCGAAGGCAGACCAGAACGGGAGCACAAAACGAAGGTAACGCGGTCCTTGTAAGGATTTGTAGAAAAGAAGCAGGTTAGCAAATGCTGGAAGTGTCAGCTTTAGGCATATGTCCTGCGTTTATTAAAACAAGAGGCGTGGCTATGCAAACCAATCTCCATGGGCAAAGAGTCATTACAGTTAAGAGCAGTCTCGGCTCCTCAAACTGCAAACACCATATATTCACACTGACTTCTGATGTTTCAGAAGAATTTATGTCCTTTCCCACACAGCTAACACTTGCATGTATTAATCAGTCTTGTTTCCTCCCGGCATCAGCGGCATTCAATCCATAAGATGAACTTTCATGCTCCAACCTTGCCATCGTTACATTCAAAAGCCAATTTGCACCATGTGCTTCTCTCTGTTTCTCTCCAACTTTTTCTGCTGACCATCGTTTTCAAATTGTTCAGATTTTAAAAGGTCTAGTCCTCTGGTTTTGGCGTGACAGCAAAAGTAGCAAGCAAGAGGACAGCAAATGTTACTAAAGAGCAAGCTCATTAACTGTAAATAAGCTACTCGGGAGACATTTTCCCAAGGCAAAGTCCGTTCCTGGCAATGGAAACGCCTGGGCACCATCACCACAGGCAGACTGGACCTCTTGGGGTACAACCTAGATGAGACGCTATTAACCTAAGTGGTTTCATCTCCATGTGTTTCCATGACATTTTTAAAAGAGCATGAAAATAAACCTTTATTTCAGTTAACACCCACCAATATTAAAGATATATGTTCACAGTTTTAGTTCTTGACACAAATGGACTGAAAGAGGCAAATTTACATCTATTGGAACAGCAGACGGACCAATTGTAAGTACAAGCTGTCTTGAGAATCATACGTGACATGCCATTTGGGAAGCTGCTCTATGCTCTAAAGCAGAAGGGAAAGCTTCTGACCACGGCTGGCTAGCAGGGCCCCAAACGACTGACTGCCTGGCCCCGAAGCCATCTGGAAAAAAAAAAGCTGAGTGGCAACTAGAACGGCAAATATACAATCTGGATAAGGGGAGGAAGGTTTATGTTACAGAGAAAGCTTTTTCATAAGCGTGTTTCTGCGTATCAAGGCATTTAACTGTATTATCCAAGGTGTCCCTAACACTGGAACTGCAACATGTTCTACCAAACCACAACGGGAGAGGGAAGAGGAACAACGCAGTGCCGGACCTGCAACAGCCCCCGTACTGAGCGTCTGTGTAAGACGAGCTCAGAGTCAGAAGAAATAAACCAAGAGATTTTTACCATCCACTGTTTGAAAACTTGCCTCCTTCTCACAGCCTGGTACTTTAAACTATAGGTGAGTGCACTAAAAAGTCCAACCCAATGATATTAACAGTGGTTTACAACAAAAACTTTTGTAGAAAATAGTTCAGATAAAGCAAGCCAGCTAAACACCACAATTAAGGAGTTTGATATTTCATATTCAAAGGTCTCCTATACTTTTTGCCTGTCCTGTACAGCTTTTAAAAAAATAGGGCGTTACCTTTTGTTTTATATCTACCTAGTTACGAAACTACAAATATGTTATAAGCTGTCCAAAGTGTAAAACATTAAATAAAATGAGAAACCTGTTTCTAGTCTCCTAACAAATGCTGCAGATAAAAACCCTAACAAACCCTCTTTATCAGTCATTCTCTTAACTCCTTTTGTGTACTGAAGTGGTAACGTTTCTGTTCACAGGGATTAAATTAAACCTACGGCAAATTTCTAAGGGGGTAGAGAAAGGGTTTCTTACAATCGCCCTCTGAAAAACATTCATTTGTCAGCTAGCAATCAGATCTCAAACACTGCACAAATCCAGAACAAAACTTTGCCAGAGAGGTCAAGTTTTGGGGTTTCATTTTACATCTTTTTGTTGTTATCACTCACAGATTGCAATGTCCCCGTCTGAAATGGCAAGTCAAAACTCCCTCCTGCCAGACCCAGCCGAGGCCTGTGGTTTCTTCTTCAGAAGGCCCGTCGCTGTCGGGGCAGCGCTGTGGATACACCGGGTATGGATGTACTTGTGTCGGACTGCGCTGCTAAATTCCACGTCCCAGCCAGAGTCCAGTCGGACTCCTGGAACAAGAGTTACCACCTTCCCCCACCTCCCAGCTCCAACAACAGGAAAGGTTACTCCAGTCTACAGGGCACCCTCTCAAAGAAAAAGCATTGTTAATTTAAAAACTTTTTTTTTTTGCCAACAAAGCATCTTGTTCTGTTGAAGGGAGGCGGAGGGAATAAAGGTAAAAAGGGAGAGTGAAAGGTCTAATACATTAATTTAAAAAAAAAAAAAACAATCTTGTTTACTTGTTTAGACCAACGATCCACATATTGTTGCTGGATCAATACACAGGTATTTAACTATAAACCAATGTGCTTTCAATCTTTTTCAAGTATCTGGTATCAATTTTGTATAAAGATTTTGCATAACCAAACTACCAAACATAGATGAAAAATGACTGTTTCTCCAAGTCTGAAATTTAGCATTAAAACTAAAGTACTCCAGGAGTTAGTATTCCATACAGCACTAACAGTCTCCCAAATTAAAGTTTCACGTATTCCAAAAGACCATGGGCTGATAAAAATCTCCTAAACAGGAATTAAGGAAACGGAAATAGTGTGCAATAATTAAAACCCACTTTGTAGTTTGGGGAAAATGTCTAAAATCCTGAATTAAAAAAAAAAAAACACAAATGAAGTGAAAGCTTTTAACTGGTACACACTGTTCACACCTATATTTCAAGTTTGGAAACGCATATTTTCAAGCAGCAATACAAAAAAGTATCCATGAAGAATGCATAATCTCTGAAAAAATTATGAAAACATCCCTGCTACCATTACATTTCTAAATACAAAACTGACTACCATATTGTTGCTTCTGTGTAGCGAGAGAAGTTCATTTTCAAAACAGATAAAATTCAGTCTTTAGGTGTGAATGGTATGAATGACAGTCTCCTCTTTTTTTTTTTTAAATTTCTTAGTTGTTTAGGATCCTTAAGCATGCAAGCCTCGGAGAGGAAGGCCCAACAAGGGCAGGGTTGGCTTATGACATCCAGTTTAGGACAGAGCTGGGAAAGCCTCTGGGTCATCTACATCAGGAGCAGAAGCACTTGACTGAAAGAGAAACATCAGAAAGTTATTACTTTCAGTGGCATCAAGCCCTACCGCATTTCTAATTCCTCACACATCACCAAGTCCTTCCGTTCGCCAGACAAACACGGCTCAGCACAAAGCCGAGCCGGGCAGTGCGAGATGTTAGCATCGCTCGACTGCGGGCACACGCCGGGGGCCGGCCGGCGGGCATGGGGACAAGGTTAAGCCTCTGTCCCTGGGCAGACTGGGCGGCACTTGCATGGGGCAGCTGCAGGCAGGGGGGTTCCCTGCACCCCAGACAAATGGGAATTCTTCATTTTTAAAAACTACTTTAACCTGAATCCTATTCAATTGGGAAATACCGGGTTTCAAAGAGGTACACACTACAGTGGAGTAAGCAGGCTAGTACTGGACAAATTACTACACGAGCAACTTCTTCCCCCAAGATACACAACGCTTCTTTTGCTCATTCCGAGGACTAGGAAGTGTCCTATATTACTTTTTAATCAAAGCTGTCTGAAGAGGTATTATAGGCAAACAGACCATACTTGCACATGATTATCGCACAAGGTTACATCTCTTTTTTCCATTCTTAAAGAGATCCCTACATGTGGATCATATGTAGGAATACCAGCACACAGCCATCAATTCCTACCGAGTGACATGACTGAAGTGTTACAGAAAAGGCCTGTTTGTAGCACAAATTAAGTTTCACACGTTTAGTTTTTCCCCAGTCACAAACTTGCTGTTGATAAAAAGAATTTTTGTGCCAATCTAGCCCTAGAAATTCATATATTAACCAAAAATCTCCTGTGCTTCCCGACAGAGTTTTATAAAAGGCTCTGTACCACACCTAAAAAACGGTGCTGTAATGAAATGCAGGAATTAAGTATTTTAGAATACTCTTCACTTTGCCCATGAGCGATGTGGAAGAGAAGAAGAGTAGGAAGAGCCAGAATAGTGGCATTTCCTGCAAACACATTCACTTATCAAGAGAGGTATTTAAACCATTCCAATAAAAGTTGTATCAACTTCTAGGTTGACTTTTAGGCAAGACTAAGACACTGCAAAATTACCCAGCTCACAAACTACAGTTAAAAAGTAATAGCAGGGTCTTAAGCCTCTAGCCTTAATATCTCCAGTTGCTCATTACACAAAAGCAGAAAACAAGCCAAAAAGGCCAATCCAGTGCAGGAGGGGAGTTACAGTCCCTGCAACAGGAGGGCCTTGCTCACAGGTAACGCAAGTGCCAGCAGAGATCACCGACCTGGTTGGGTGTGTGGATCACGTCAAACTCCTTAACCAACTGGAAGGAAACAAACAAAGTCAATAGAAAATAAGCTGCAGAAAAGTTTTTAACTACTTCGTGACAGCATTCTTGAAGAAGCAAGATGCCACATTAGTGAAACAACTCAAAGCAAACACCACCACCATTTAATTTCAATTCCTTGAAATTTTCTTATATTGGTAACAGGAGAGAGTTTTCCAACTAATAAGCCTGAAACTTAAAGTGATCCAGTGTAAAAAATAGAAAACAAAGTCAGTGTCCTAAAAGAGACAAAAATGAGCACGTTTGATCTGTGTGAACAAAGCCACACCACACAGACTGAACTCATTTTCTAATGAGTAACAATTTGATCAGATGCGTTCAAGCCGAATAAGTGATACGTATTAAATCAAATCTTTACGGTAGCTATGCTATGGTACTTCAACTTTACATGTTCTCTCCCCAACTCCATTCAGTACTTTTCCTGAGTATTTCCTTACAGCTTTAGGACTAAAGGAAGGGAAAAAAAAATTACTGCATATTAGGAAAAAAACCAAAACAGTAAGAGTCCTATTTCCAAATTAAATTCCTCAAATTCAAGGTGTAGCATGTAGCTGTAAAACGAGTCTTTCACCCCCAACAGGTCACAATGCAGACACATCGTCCTGACTGTGTCTGAAAATAACCGCTCTAGCACTTGCTGTTCTGCTCTGGCACAAACAGAAGTGTCTCACAGTACGTTCAGATCTGTCTGTATTGAAGATCTTCATCGTTTTTTGGGTTTAGAAACACCACACCCCTGCTCCCCCCCCAAATGGGCACTTTTTTTTTTAATCCAGCCTACTCTCCACCCTCTCTTTTTTGTCTTTAATAAGAACGCTGTTAAAATAGTCACCCTTTTATCCTAACAGTAACCTAGTTTAAAGTAAACTTGTAAGAATAGACACTTCGCTTGGTTTTAAAACACAGTGTTTGTCGTCAGAGCAATTTCCCCAGAAATAAGGAAGACACCTAAAACTATCTGTATGAAAATCCTAATAACAACTTCCAACTCAACTCCTTTGCAGATGAAAGCTGTAGCTACTCACCTTGTCAGTTCGGCCTCCACGGCTGGCCCTGCCACCACGCCCTCGGCCACCCCGTCCCCCTCTGCCACCACGTCCGGGGCGGCCAAGGTCTCCAAAGTTGATCTCCAGCTGGGATGTAATATCATTTGCTGGCTTGCGGAAGTGATGATCCATTACAGAGTCCTCAGCATGAGCCTGAAACGAGTGTTTCTTCATAAGAAAAATGACCAAAGAAACTTTGTCATCTGTAGTTGCACTCTTACCACCACGGCATACGTGTTCACCTCCAAATGCACTCCCAAATTGATGGTTGATTACCTTGATTGATTCAAGTTAAAAGATAGTGCAGGAATTGTTAGGAATCAAGTTATACCACTTGTGCAGACCACAAAACCACATAGTGGTAATCACATAAGCGCTTGAGCAAACAAAGCTATTTTGCATTTCCAAGATAATTCACGGATGCTCTGGAGTTCCTTTTCAGAGGAACATGTCTTGGCTTATCTGAGACCAAACTGACTATCACCAAGCCAGGACAGAACCTCATTTTCTAGCACTCGTCCTCTTCTCACTTCGCATCCTGAGAAATCTTCGGTTTCTAATCAATTCATTTCATTCTTTTAAAATACTTACTCGGTAACCCATCTTTATTTTGCTCAATGAGTACTTTACACTTTCTCATTTGCTTAGCCCTGTATAAATATTTAAAACAAGGGAGGTGGCAAGAATCCCTTACTGGTTTGCATTAGCTGCAACAAACACCAAATGAGGCATAAACAGTTCAAACAATTAACTGAAGTAGCTAAAACAGAGAACCGGTCTCACCGATTACACTAAAAAACGATGACTCCCACCACCTTTGCCATGATAACAACATTCTCCTACAGCTGACTGGGTCTCAGTGCATTCACAGCCTCGAGGAGCAAGCTATGCACCAAAGAGTTACCTCTAACACCATAAATGCTACTATTCAGCACACTCAAGTATTGTAAATTATTACACACTGAACACAAAAAGAACAAGGTATTTTTAAAGTAATTATTTTTCCTATTTTGTACAAATAATTTTTCCACGTGGCAAGTCAATTTTTGACACCTATGATGATACATGAAACGTAAAACTGACCACACTGGATCAGCCCAAGGGTTTAGCTAGCCCAGCGCTCCGCCTATTACAAGGCCCAACCACCATGTTTCGGACACATGACAACATACGATGCTTTCTCCTCCTATAAGAAACTAACTTCTGGTGCAGCAATTATCAGTTTGCTCCTTTTTTCCTACAGAAATGCCATGTGCAAGCTTAAGCTTCCCGACTCTAACTTACTTTTCTTGTGGTGTCATTACACAATATGCTGACTTTCAAAGGCAACGTATTGTCCAATTAAGTCCCATGCCCTTTAATTACCATCTGTGGATCCTGCGTAAGGCAGCCAATGGATACGCAGAGGTCTGCAGTCAAAAGGCTGAAAGCTGCTTTCAGGGATTCCTCGAGTCAGTCACAAGCACCATAACGTACAGAGCTATAAAGAGCCTTCTCCCCCACCAATCTAACGACCCCCTGCCCAGCTGTACATTTGGCCTCCATGCCATCCTGCAGTGGAAAGCACTGCAATTTCATTAGGCACAATGAGAAATAGCCTTCCATCCTGCTTTATTTCAAACATATTTCACTGGGGTGTATTCCATGTAACAACAGGTCCCCATCCCACTCCTGATTTTACAGATCTGAATTGTACGCCCTTCCCTCAGAGATCTCTTTTCCAAGCTTAGGAAGTTAGCCTGGTTATAAGCAGTTATTTTTCAGAGAAAAGTCATTCCACATCTCAGCCTGACATGGCACTACTCAAATGTAAGCACACCAACAATTTCTAAAACAGTTCACAATACCTTTTGTTATGGTTTTGATTCCTTTCTTACTACTACATATTTTATCTAGTTTTGATCACTGCAGGGTACTGAGATTGTATTTTCAACTTATTGGTAGTCATACGACGGTCTCTTTTGTGAGAGGTAGTGTCAGTGGATTTGTACAATAATTCTGCGCATTTCCTTCCCTACAATGTTATTGCGTAAAAGAGAAACACTACAGTCTACCAAAACCATTGTATTTTCACAACTTAACTTTGGTTTAACCACTAAACCAACAAAGAGCAAATTCTGTATGTAACCCGATGATTTCTTTAGATAAAGTAATGAAAACTAATTTCAAATACCAATAAAAGACTTGGCATATTCTCCTCATCCTCTTCTATCATTTAGACGACAAGTCAGTCATAGACATACCGTACAAATTGCTTATTCTGAATCATCTTTGGAAGTATTTAACTTATATGTATTGGCAACTCTCAATAGCGCTCTGATCTAATAACTGATAGCTTCTTGAAGGCACTGCTGCACTTACGGGTCTTGGGGAAGGCTGTCAAAAATTAAGAACAAGCTCCTAACAGAAAGGGGGCCAAAGCAGACAGCGAGATATGGAAAAACAACAGCAACAACAAAAAAAACCAGACAGACTCATGATAGAAGCATTTATGATAAGGTTTGAATTCAGCTCGATTAGGAGCAAGGGTAACCAATTATGAAGGGTCCTGTATGGTGCATAGTTAGACAACAGGCATGGACAGAAGAGCTCCATATTGTATGTACTTGTATTCTGTGGTTTTGGGATGTCTTAGTATCCAGACCTTCATTTCAGAAGGGGCTCGTATCAGAACACAGGTATTACCGGTTAGATATAAAGGATCAGTACCTCATTTGACTCCAGCAGACTCCCCTGCATTTCTGTCATCGCCTTTGTCTGATGAAAGTTGCGTGTCCACGCCAAAGTGACAAAAAGAACAAAGGGAGAAAACAAAAGGAAGAAATGAGACTCAACTACATACAGAAACAACAGGTAATAAGGTCACATGAACTTGCTGGATACAGATGTCACTGAGCACATGAAGCAGCAAAAGGATGAGATCAACAGCTGTGCAAGCATCCAGAAAGACTAGAGGATGGACCCTACCACAGGCATGGAGACAAGAGAAATCTCAGATCAACACCAAAAAAAGTTTAACACGAGCTGCTGGAAACTCTAGTAGAGACCACGTACATAGGCGGATCTCCAGCACCTCAATACATCAGGCACACTGCGTACAGAACTAGACAGGTAAGAGAGTGGGATGTTTAAAATTACTCTTAATGCGAAAAGGTTTCTTCTGCACAGCCTCGATTCAAGAGTCAATCCTCCAAATTTCAAGAAGATGAACTATTCTTTTCCAACACATATTTCTCAGTCTCCCGTTGCAACCTCCTCTAAGGAAGCGATTAGATTAGCAAGAAAGTTTGAAAGCACAGGGAAGAGGCAAGGCATAGCAGATACACAGAGTGGGAACTGATCTGCTAGTGTATCAGTCTTTCCATGAGACTGGTATCCAACTGTCTGAATAAATTTAAAGATCTTTCCACAATGTAATTCTTTCCCATTTTTTGTTCTGCTGTACCAGTAGAACTTAAAAGATTCAAGCCACTAAACCAGCTGCTGAGAAGGAAAAGAGAGGATCTCTATTTTATGGCATAACCCAAACTCCTGGAAAGAGTCCATTTAGACTAGGGCTGCCAATACACATGGATTTCATACTAAAGCAGCAAGAATCTGAGACAGCATTAAGAGTTCATTCTATACAAAGTATCACTTTCTAGTAATTGCATAGCAAACATGAAAAAGAGGAAAGACCTCAGATAGGGTCAAGTGTTTTATCCCTCAATGAAGAGCATGAATAGGAGGAGGAGGACAGCTCTTTCACAAGACTAAGGCAGATGAGCAGTACTAGATCCTCAACACTCCCTTTTCCCACAGACTCCTAGGACATTCTCCCAGTAGTTCTCAAGCTACAGGAAGGCAGGCGGTGATCACAACACTTCAATTCAAATTTCTGAAACAAAAATCTACTGGGTCACATTGTGATTTTTTTCCGCCACAGGAACACAGAAGATTTGGGGCTGAAAACCAGAATTTACCTATAAACCATTTCACTTCCACACATCAACTCCCTTCTTTTCAGTAAGAATCACAGAAACCTTACATCAACCTCAATTTCATGACTCACAAGTACATCCAAGAGGACAAACAGATAAAGAACAGCAAGCGATCCGTAGGTTTTGTTCATAACTTCTAAATATTCCACCTTCTAAACCAGCTTACAAAGGAGCCACAGCAAAGGCTTTCCTAACACCTGTATTACAGAGCTATTCTGCTGTAATACTTAGCAAAAAAAAAACCTCACGCTGCTTCTGGTGGGACCAGTGAACAAGTGAAGTGGGGAGAGACATCTGCTGGACACACAATAAAAGCAGGCTAAAAAGGTCTACATTTCAAGGCAATTTTGTTAATATCTCACTCTGTGCTTATACCACAAGGACCTGTTAACTTCCTACGTGATAGCAGTAAAAACATCCGACTCATTTCTTTGAAGAGAAGTTAACTGAATACACCTCTCAAACAGAACAATATACTAATTATGTCTGTTCTTCCATGAAAGGAATTAGTTATTCTCATTGGTTTTGTTTGGGTTTTTCTGAGTTAACCACCAATTCATATTTCAAATGGAAAACACAGTATGGATCCTTCTAGCTTCTAAATTACTCAAGAGTACCACCATCTTATTACACTACCATACAAGCAGAGATGTTAAAGACTGTCTTCAGCTGACTACATGTCAAATAAATTCAAATAAATCTGCTTTGGAGAGACTGGCGCAGGGGGGTATTTCCTGACACGCTTGCAGGACTACAGGCTTAGTAACTCTTGGTAAAGTACATAAATACTTCTGTTTAAACATACTCTTTTAATATACAGCAACATTAAGTTTTAACACAATTTCCCTTTTCTACAGAAGCCAGAGAAAGCAGTATTTAACGAACACTTCAAACACTGAACAGCTTAAAGGAAACAAAAAGATATGCAATCATTTAAAGAACTGAGCTACCTTACACAGCAAGAAAAGAAAATAGCCTGATTGTGACAAAGTCAAGCTCATTCCAAGTTCAATGAGATCAGAAATGGAGTTTTCGCTGGAAAGTACTGAACGGTGCCTCCCCATCTGTATCACACCCTCAGCTTACAAGAAAAAACTGACAAAGCGTGAAAAAGCATAAATACGTATTAGAAGACCAAACAGAATATTACATACTATCTAGTTACTTCAAAGGGAGGCAGAACCATCTGGTATACAAAGTTGCAGGCCACTGATGGCTCAAGCAGGCCACTTGAGATACTACAGTGTTAAAAACAAAGATTAATGCAGTCCTGCATCTTAAAACAGAGTTCTCAGCACTTCCCTCCCTCCTGAAATGAAACAATCTCTCTCCTTGTCATTCTCACTGTCCTGGAACAGAGTAATCAAAATTTTGCAGTAACTGAAATGAGTATGCTTGAGAAACAGCAATTTAAAAATAATTCTACAACTACACTGAACATCACCGAAGCATACAAATGTATTTCACCTGGTTGCTCAAAAGGTTCAAGGAGGGTTGTCTATATAATATCACAAAATGAGAAGACGTCTATGGTACAAATTTAAGATACACAGTTTAGGTATTAAAGTGTCTGAGGTACGACCAGTATTTCTTCAATCACACATCGTGTTTAGCAAGCACCATAAATCTGTGTACTGCCTAAGATGAACAGATATGCTAAATAACATAAGCTTTCTTTAAAAAAAAAAAAATCAAATAAATAAATTTGATATTGACAAACTTTCTAAAATGCTCACCAAGAGACACTCCTTACAAAGTTACCTGCCCAGATGCAGCAGTATTCCAGTCTCCTCACTAGATTACATCACAGTATACACTAACCTGAGGGTACAGATCGACTGCTAGGTAAGAATGGCTACTTATGCTACTGCATAACTTCACTTTTATCAAGAGAAATGTTGTTCCCACTTCATAAACTTTTAGCTACAGGTCAGCATCTCAAAGAATGGAGCTTCCACTCCAAGAAGTGCATATCAACAGAGAAACCTATACAATTTGGATACCAGGAAGTACTGAAAAATCACTTTACCTCCTCACTCTTTGACTTGTGAAGAACAAATCCTTTTTTCCATTGCCCATCAGCACCCTCATTTGGTTTACGGATGTTGAACTCAACTTTTGCACGATCCTTACTTTGAATAGCTTTCCACTCATCCAGGGTCATTTCCTTAGGACCTTCTTCCTTAACTTCTTCAACCTCATTCTCTCTGTAGTAAATTCATAGACATTATGATCATGACTTAGAATTCACATTCTAGATACAACAAATCCAAAATTGGCAGCAGGTTATAGAAAAAAAAAGTTTGTCAAGTATTCCGCAGTTAAGCGGTGTATATAAAAAAGCCTCACTTCCACCACTCAGAAAGCACACACGAAAACTCACCTCCTTTAGCCAGAGCGCCAAAAAAAAATAAAAAAAAAATCACAGCCAGATACCTTTAAGCAACTAAATGGTGAGCACAGCAAAATGTTACAACATTGACCCATGCTGTCTATTCTCCACATTAATGACAATTATCTTTACAGCCATGAAAGCCTAACTTCTGCAATGGACTTGTTTGGAGCTTTTTCCCCCCCTTTTTGAGCCACCTCTCTCCCAAAGGTTCAAGTTAAGGCAGTGAAGGGAGTTTGTTCTTACCACAGTTTTCAAGCTTGTTAGTTTTTTTTTAAAAACAGAATTTAATGAGCTTTGGATAGTATGCTTCCTTTATCGAACCAATGACAATTAATTTCCCAGCTAACTGAAACAATTTTTACCTTCAACTAACTTGAAAAAACAACAGTATATAACTTAGTTACTTGTGCGATACATCACCCCATTGTACATCTCTGGTGCCTCTATCTTCTGCCAAAGAGCTAATTTTAAGTAAAACACACAACCAGTAACAGATCGTGTTTGAACTTACATAGGCAGTTAATCCTCTAGTCATTCTTCAGTGTGTTTATGCAACTAAATTTCTGATTTATAGAAAACCAGTGCCATGTATGTGCAGCAAAAAGATCATGAAAGCCTCACAAGAAAAGGCCTTCATTTTGTAACCAGGAATTTTGATGTAATAATGCAGAGGTTTTGTGTCAAGATTACTGTGTTTCAATTTTTTCTCATTCTGTAGGACAGAATGATTTTTGACATGATATATACTCAGAAGCATTTTTTTTGTTCAAGGCAAAGACATTACCCCTTGGCATTCTGCACATTTTACTGCAGTAAAACATCCTACAGTTCTGCTGAAACATTTAGGTTAGAGATCCACACCAAACTAGCCAACCTGAAAACTAACCCCTGTAAAGATGCTTTTCTATGAAGAAAACTGATGGATTACAAGAGATGTGTCATGCTTGAAACCAAGATGAGCAGACATTTTCTGCAGATTTGAGGAAGAAGAACAAACATACAAATGGCCTGCAGAATTTTGCAGACGACTGATCTGCACATGGATGGGTCAGTATCTGGTCAAGTACCAGGACACTGCCACTAATAAAGATCCAGGAAATACTGCAGACACAGCAAATTTAATACATCCAGATTTCCAATACATACGATTTTTTTTTAAGGACAAGCTAGCTTGCATTTTCTGACCAATGCCCAAGACGTAATTCCTTAAAATTCTCTTACTACTTCTGTATACAAGATGACCTTAACCTTGGACCACCACAACCTTGGAGAAGTAATAGCATTTAGTCATCTTTTAGTGAAGTCAAATCCATTTCTTATTCTCTATGCAGTAACTGCACCCTCCTTACCACTAAAGTTATTAATGAGGAAACCAAGCTAGAGCAAACTCCACATTAAAAATCTCGTGCAAACAAGTATTTCAAAATTCTATCTTACCCATTTGCCATTTTCTTTTGAATCTACCATAAAGCGCATTCCTCATTAAAATACAACATTTTATTGTACTACACTACCATAAAAATTTGTCTCACATTTTTACTTCAACCATAAGTATCACTACTGCTCATTCTGCCTCTCTAGTTACTCTATTTCATTCATCCAGTCTCTGGTTTCTTCTGTAACACTGTCCAAGTGGAATGAGAAGCAATCAAGTTAACTTCTTTGAAAACTGCCTGCAGACACAGAGGATGGAGAATAACAGAGATACAACCTTTCCTCCACAGGCTAGTTATAGTGTCTGAACTGTTGTTTTGAAAAATTAAGTTTAGAAAAAGTTGCCTTCCACTGGCAGAACATCATTTCATCCCTTTGGCTTGGTGGTTCTACATAGTTACAAGCACAGATGCTTTTGGATTTGATACTTAGGAGCTGCAATCCCAAGACCCTAAGCGTATTAGAACTGATTATTAATAATTAAATCTGAAAGTGACCTAAGAGCCTGCCAGACACTGATGAACAGTTTCAAGGTAACAACTTTTAGACATGCAGTTTTTAAAGATACAGTCTTTCAGCAGCATTGTGGATAATTTCACAGCTACTGAAGAAAATACAATCTGAGTTTGGCAAAACAGAAGTAGGAATAAATATCAGAGGTTAAAGGCAAAGACATGCTACCTTTGAAGCAATCAAAGAACATTAAGAGGGGTGGTACTCACTTATTTTCAGAATCAGCAGGCGGATGTTCCTCTCCTTCTGGCGTTTCCTCAGTTACAGCTGACTGATCCAATTCACTGCAATTACATAATGTTTGGAGTTTTGTTTTTTAAAAGTTCATCCCTATTTAAAGCTACATTAACAACTAAGTTCTACAGCGGATTTACACAACCCACTCTTCTTTAACAAGAACTATTTCATTAAGGATTGGTGCGTTCTGTGCCTTTTAAATTCTACGCTTTCCACCTTCCTAATGGCTCTCCCCCCAACGCTTAACTAGTACCCATTCTGAAAGTCTCCCGCTGTACCTTGAGACACAAAATGGATTTGGGTACTAAAAGTACTGCTTTCAATGTAATACTTGTAAAAAAGCACGCTTAACCTGATCAAAATTGTTAAATTGTTCTGGTTTTAGTAAGAGAATTGTTCAAAAAAAAAAAAGACACAGGACAAGTGCCCCCCATTCCAAACTTCCCCAAAATTCTGGTTTTAAGAGCGAAGCTATCCTATGTTACAAGAAATTGCTAATTTTCTAAGTTCTGCAAAGGCTGCTTTAATAGTGTAGCAAAAATTATCAAAATCAAAGGCAAAAAAAGCAGCTAAATCTTTACATTTTGCAAGGCGTAAGAATTAGGCTTTATTAACATTCTGCTAATAGTTTTCTGAGCAATTACAGATTACTAACGTTAGCTCGTCTTTGACGGTTCCCCAGTTGTGTGATCCACTGCCACCACGCTTGTCCTCATGCTTTAGGCCGCTGAAATGTGAATGTGAAACAGAACTAACAAAACTGAGTTAACATTATAGTGTCCAGATACAGAAATTCAAAGGCAAATTTTAAAATGTGTATTAATTGTAAAGAACAAGCAAAAAACGATAGAAAAAGTTAAAGACTTACGATCTATCGCTGCCACTATGTCTGTCAAATTCACGTTTGCCACGAGAGTCAAACCCATCTCCTCTGCCCATTCCACGGCCGCGTCCACGTCCTCTTCCAAGTCCACCACGTCCACGCATAGGTCGGTCAAGAATGGGTCTAGCACGGAACAGTCAAACGTGAATATTTCACCTCCAAAAATTTACAGCGTGGTTTTTCAGGTTTTCTTTTTCTCTTTTGACAATTTTATTTACTTACTTTTCCTTTGATAATTACTGTTTGTAACTGTGTCAAGGCTCAAATTTAAATGTCACATTATTACACTGAAAAAACCCACATGTAGAATGTCCACATTTTAGAATCTGGAAACAACTGCTCAGAAGGATTACTGTTCATTTGCATCTTCTGTCACTAAATTCCAAAACTGAGTGCTGGTCTTGTGTTACATAACTAGTTGTTACTACAATTTCGATTTCACTCACATCCATCCAACTTACTTTTAAAAGGATTTTAACTTTAGCTACTAAAATTTCGATATTTGAACTTTCAGAACACTTGAATTCTGGGTCCCTCATGATACTTGAGACACTTTAAATCTTGCCCAGACCCAAGATGGCTTCACCACTTCCAGATGTGAAGCCACTGCAGCCAAGGTGTAAACACCTACATGGACAAACTTTTATTGGCTTGAAGTCAGCTGTATGGATTTAAGCAACAGCTGTAACAGCAAATATATCTCATCCTGCAGGCAACAGTTATACTTGAGTTCCTTTCTTGAGCTATCTGCTATAGGTTTAGAGAGATATGGTGGCTATCTTAATGATTTAAACCGTGTTTTCAGTTATGCCAATGGAACTGTTCACATTAGACCACTCCCAATCTAAAACTTGAGTCAAGTTTGTAAACAAAATCATGGAAAAGGAAAGAAAAGTGTTATGGGTTGCATGACACACGCTCTTCTTGCAACTGACAAAAATTTAATTCAACCTATTTAATTCTGATTCAATCAGCTATTTGTTTGTTTTTTAACTCAGTAGCATGAGGCTGGACAGCCCCTTCCTATCAAAGCTAAGAAAGTTCATTGTCACGCAAGACAGAATTCTTACTTATCAACAGAAAATTCTCCTCCTTCCCCTTTCTCATCAGCAGGTTTCTCAAAGCGGCGCTCACGAGGAGGTCGTCTCTCCGGTCTCCTGTCAATAGGCTTGCCTTCACCCTGCTGTTGCTGCTGCTGCTGCTGATCAGGCCTCCTGCCAATACGTCTTATCCCTGAAACATTAGGCAAAACACATCAACGGAATGTCGAGCTGCTCTGGGAGAGATACTGACTCTTAACACCATAAAACAGTATTGAAGGTAAGCCGGAATTGTTCTTTTCTTTCTCCCTTGTGACTAGACAACACGGGAAACTATACCTTTATAAAAAAGTCTCTGTAGATCATTTGACTCCTCTTAGTCACATTTTTACACAGCATTTCAATGAAATTGCATTTTGTACAAGTGTACACTCCTACAATATTGTAGGAAACATAACCTGTCAGAGCACACAACACATCAGTAATCCGTGTTAAAATGACAGGGTCAACTTTCAAAGAAGGATCACAGTAAGCGAGACTTTTTTTTTTTCTCCTTCCCCCTTCCGAAAGGTGCTTTTCAGGTCAAACAAGTGATTTTGATGCGCACCAAAACAAAAGCAGCATCACCACACTGGACCCTGTGACAGCCACCCTGCCTCATCCCACTGTGTTCTTCTTGGAAAGTTTTTTGGCCAGCAGTAAGACCCTGGGTAGGGTCACCTTTACCCGGACAGGCGTCACCTGCATCCCAGTACAGTAGGTATCGGTCAGTGACTAAATGGCGTGTTCTTCCACACCGATCCTCTTGCGGTCTGATACACGCTCACCTCCTTGTGCACTTACTTAAAATAGCTTAAGAATACACTGTGCCACTGAACTGGCTGGCGTTCTCCCCACCCTCTATGCCTTCTGAAAGGTTTTGTGGTTTTTTTTTAAAAAAATAACTTCCCATAGGCATCATCTCCTTCACTAAGACATCTGAGGGATCTTAAATACAGTTTTCTTGGCCACTCATCTGAAAGGCCTGTTTACTCTTCTTTAGAAAGATCTGGACAAACACATTGCTGCTTTGTTATACTATTTTCTTGCCAAAACGTTTAGGGAAAAAACATTCAGCAAACTACCAGGGCTGGCTCCAGAATTGTGAACTATTTTTTAATTTAAAAGATGACAATTCTTAAATTTTTTTAAAGAAATAAGTTCCTGCCTAACAAGCAATGTCTTATTTGGGTGGGGCTAAAGAAGTTACAGTTGTAATGATATCCAAGCCAACACACCCAAATGAACAACGACTTCCTTACCTCACAAGCTGTACTTAACGTGAAGTTTGCATGACATACATTGCTTGCTAAGTAACTCTTACTCCCCGAGGAAACACAGGGGTTAAACTGGAAAACATTTACTTTGAAAAGGACTCTTAACTAAGGACAACCATTTCATTTTAAGACGTAAAGCTCAGCAAGGAAAGCGAACAGGCCAGTGTCACATAGGAGGTATGCTGCAGAACTGGAATGAGCAATCCATGTCTTCTGAATTTCGAGTTCAACACCCTGCACTCAGTCTGCTGAAGCCTAACCAAAAACACAAGTTATTTCTTTTTCTTAGTACCACAAAGCTTTGAACTGGTAATTCACCAGTCAAATAATCTGCACCTTTACAGAGTAGTGGAATAGTTTTAAACTGCAACACATTCACACGGGAAACACACCCCATCGATACTATGGCATCAAATAATTTTATAGTGTTAGAACTACTGTCCCACACAAAAAATACAAAATTTCAAACTGGAAAGTGACTTTGTTTACTACAGCGCTCCACACACACTGCTACAAAAGCAAGCCTGACTTCCTCTGTTTCACTACTATAATAAGCCAAGAAATATTTTGTTTTCATCCTAAAGTAGTGCTTATTCTTGAAAACGAATGTGAAAACCAGGAGGTAAACACGGACTGCTAGCCTGTCAAAAACCCTCTGTATTCTCTTGTGTCGGCCAAAGACACTGCCCACGTTTCAGGTTTACCTCCTGAGGAGTAACACCATAATTCTCTATCTGCCTAATATTTCCAGAGGACACTGGCTTAGCAAATTGACACTCTGGACAAATTACTGCATTCCTCACGTGGAAAAAAACTCTCAAGCGTTAAAGTACAAAAGATCTGTAAGCAAACAGTATTGTAACACAGTTCCTAACTTCCGCTTCTCACAAGGTGTCTTCAAATGACATTTGGGAGGTTCACTATATTAAAACTTTTTTTTTTTCTTAAAAAGAATAAAACGTGGTGGAGAATCATTTTGCAACACACACTGCAGGAAACGCTAAAGTATTGAGATGCTTTCATGTAGCCCTGTGCTCTTTTGAGGTGGCCACGTTTCTGAAAAGATCATTTAGAGTTAGACTGCAGCTAGCAAGTTATTTCCTCAGCCACAGGGCAACTGCTGTCACCACGCTTTAATGCATTTCAAGGATTCCAAATTAATCTGAGTTCTGACCAATTCGACGAGCGCTGCAGTTCGTGCAGGGTACAACTGCGTGCCACAGGACGACGTGTGTGCACAAAATCTACCCCTCTTCATATAGAGCTCTGTCCTACTAACTCCTTCGCCCAGAGTATACTCATTTAACCTATTTATACTTTGATTTCTTTTTTCAACAAAGTTTCCCGCGTGGGATGCCTTATGGATTTACACAAACACGGCTGAAAATTCACACAACCTGTTACTGAAACACATCCACGATCCCCACCAACACCGTTCCCTAGAAGAACGACCCAAGTGAATTTTGCAAAGCCCAGGTACTGCCAGACAGGCTGTCAAACAGGCCAGACCGCCCGAAACACCACTGAAGTTCAGGATGCGCTGCTGGGATTTTCTGTTCCACGCTACTCTTCTCCCGCGGGCA